GACCGGCTCAAGGGGAGACCCCTCCATGCTGATGGTTTGGGGGTGCATGGTGTAGTACCGGCCGACTTCGGCCACAATCGGCAAGTTCATTCATCGTGCACGCTGGGGAATCCACCTGGGGCTCAGTCACGAGCACAAAGGGTGGCTCATTCTTGATATTGATAGTAAGGAAATTGTTCCCACGCGGGACATTCTCTTCTACGAGCGGCTCACCTTGAAGCTGTGGATCAAGGATGAGCGACGCAACGAGGCACGCGGCTACGTCAACAGCGGTCACAGCTTCGCCACTCCAGAAGACGAAGCAGTAGCAGCAGCACTGGACCGCGACGACACTGACGAACATCCCATCATCCCGCCTCGCCCGCGCGACGACGACGACGACGATGACAGTGATGATGACCCCGCGCCAGGACCATCACGGCACCAAACAGAGCCAAGCACCGCACACCCGGCTACGAAAGCGGAGACGACGACATGGTGGAAGTCACCACCAACACAGACACCACCAATGTGTCAGGTCTTCAACTCCTCGGCCTGCATACGTCCGTCACCACCCTCGCACGGGCTGTGGAGCCCAAGAACCCTCGCCAGGCCCTAACCGGCCCTCACGCCAAGAAGTGGCGCGCTGCGATGGATGCAGAACTAAAGGCGCTGGAGTCTCAAGACACATGGGTCCTAGTCGATCGTGCAGCAGTGAAGGGGAGGAGGGTACTAAGCAAAAAATGGGTTTTTCGCCTCAAAACTAATGCTGACGGCACCATCGAGCGATTCAAGGCACGCTGGGTCATACGTGGGTACGATCAGCGCCACGGCATCGACTTCGACCAAACATTCGCTCGCGTCAGTCGCCACACCTCCGTCCGGATTCTACTCGCCATTGCCGCTGCTAAGCACTTGCCACTGCGACAGATTGACGTGAAGAACGCATTCTTATACGCGTTGGTGGACGCTACCATCTTCGTGGAGCAGCCTCACACCTACGGAGAAGGGGATCCTAGGGTCTGTCAACTGAAGAAGTCCCTCTACGGGATCAAGCAGGCGCCTCGTCTCTGGCAGCAGCATCTGCACAAAATCCTCCTCGAGATCGGTTTCAAGCAGCTTCCACACGACTCAGGGACGTATCGCCTTCACTTCTGCTGGGGTGGCCGCCCCAGCAGCTGCTGCCTCTGGAGCGGCCACCCCAGCAGCAGCAGCTTGTGGAGCAGCCGCCCTAGCAGCAGCAGCCCCGGGAGCAGCCTCCCCAGCAGCAGCAGCCCCTGGAGCTGCCCCAGCAGCAGCAGCCCCGGGAGCAGCCGCCCCAGCAGCAGCAGCCCCGGGAGCAGCCGCCCCAGCAGCAGCCACTGGAGCAGCCGCCCCAGCAGCAGCTGCCTCTGAAGCGGCCACCCCAGCAGCAGCAGCCCCTGGAGCCGCTGCTACTGCAGCAGCCACCCCACCAGCAGCAGCACGTGGAGCAGCAGCAGCAGCAGCAGCCCCAGCAGCTGCAGCCCCTAAAACGGCCACCGCAGCACCAGCGGCTCCAGGAGCCGCCGCCCCAGCAGCAGCCCCTGGGGCCGCCCCAGTAGCAGCAGCCCCGGGAGCAGCCGCCCCAGCAGCTGCTGCCTCTGGAGCGGCCACCCCAGCAGCAGCAGCTTGTGGAGCATCCGCCCCAGCAGCAGCAGCCCCGGGAGCAGCCGCCCCAGCAGCAGCAGCCCCTGGAGCAGCTCCAGCAGCAGCAGCCCCGGGAGCAGCCGCCCCAACAGCAGCAGCCCCGGGAGCAGCCACCCCAGCAGCAGCCACTGGAGCAGCCGCCCCAGCAGCAGCTGCCTCTGAAGCGGCCACCCCAGCAGCAGCAGCCCTTGGAGCCGCTGCTACTGCAGCAGCCACCCCACCAGCAGCAGCACGTGGAGCAACAGCAGCAGCAGCCGCCCCAGCAGCAGCCCCAGCAGCGGCAGCCACTGGAGCAGCCGCACCAGCAGCAGCCGCCCCTGGCCCCTGCAGCAGCCGCTCATGGACCAGGTGCAGCCGTGGGGGGTGAGTGTTGGGGTGCTAGTTGTGGGGGTGTCGGTTGTGCGTGCCGTCCCCTCCTCCTCCTCCTCCTTCGTCTCCCACTGCTACAGCTCTCGCTGAGGGGGGTGGATGTGTGGGAGACTTGGGTTTAGGGTTTAAGGGGGGGTGGGTGGGAGTGGAGCTAGCGGTATAGCAGCGGGTGTGTGTCGGGGGGTGGGACTGTGTGCGGGAGGATGAGCGGAGGTTGCCAGTCTGTTGTCCGCAGCACCTGTAGTCCGGGCGCTTAGTCCGGTAGCCCAGTGAGTTTGTTGCTGCGCCAGTCGCCCGAGGGTCCGTTGCCCGTCTGCCGCTACTTGAGCCGCGGGGCCTGTTACTCCTGTAGTCCGGGCGCTTAGTCCGGTAGCCACTGTGCTCGCCACTCCTGTTGCCCGTGTGTCTGCAGCTTCAGCCGCCGCCTTCTATCTCCTCTCCTCTCACTCTCCCTCCTCCTCCTCACTTGCCCGTTGTGACTACCACTAGCTTTGCTGATAATTGTGCACTTTAACTATTGCTTCTTGAACTTGTGCTCAGAATGTGTGGTGACATTGTGATCCACCCTGAGCTTGTACTGCTTTGCCTGCTCTGCTGATTACACCCCACTTTGGCTATGGGGGTGTGTCAGAATATATTTGCTGTCTAGCCTGCAGTGGGGTACTCTGTAATGAGTACAACCCAATTTAGGGCATTGTACTTGTATCCCAACTCTTGCTAGTGAAACCCCTCCTCTTTCCAAAAATCCCTCGATACTTTCCTAACCCCCTCGAACTTGATCACCTAGGCACCTACACTATGGCTTCTAAGCCTACCCTTGCTTAAGATTCTGAGAGCGATGACATCCTCCTAACAGTCTATGTCGACGACCTGCTGTATACGGGTACCTGCAACAAACTCCTTGACCAGTTCGAGGAGAACCTGGCGCAGCGCGTTGACATCACCATCAGTCACAACGTGAAGCAGTTTTTGGGGCTGAATATCACCTACACGCCAGAAGCAATTCACCTGTCAGCCTCCAATTACGCAGAGCAGCTGGGAGAAAGTTTCAACATCTCTCCTGCACCACTCTCAACTCCCTACCGCAACCCCAGCACCAACTACAAACCGGACAACAAACCACTATCACCCGAAGGACTCCAACTGTACCAGCAGCAACTGGGTTGCCTGCTGTTCGCCTCTGTCATCTGCCGACCCGACCTTTCGTACATCGCTAGCCAATTGGCGGAGTATTCTCGCAAGCCAGTAGCTGAGAACCAGCTGGATCTGGAGCGCGCCCTGCAGTACTTCATCTCCACACCTGACATTGGGCTCTCCTACTCCACGCTGACGACAACCTCCTTCAACCTCAACGGCTACGTGGACGCAGATCCTGCAGCTGACCCTGAAAATTGGCGATCCCGAACCGGCTTCGTTTTTCGCCTGGAACCTACTGGGCCAATCTCCTGGAACTCACAGAAGCAGGAGCTGGTTGCCCTGTCATCGGCTGAAGCAGAATACATCGCCGCAACAGCAGCAGTTCGCGAAGGGCTGTACCTGCAGGGGCTGCTACAGGAGGCGAAAATTCCAACATCGCCCACCTTTCGCCTTCACTGGGACAACCAGAGTGCCATCAGGATCGCAAACAAGCCAGGTTTCGTGAATCGCACGAAGCACATCGCACTTCGGTACTTTTTTCGTCAAGGACGAAATTGACCAAGGAAAAGTTGACCTCGCCTACTGCCCGACTACTAAGATGGCAGCAGACTTCCTCACCAAGCGTCTGCCACGTCAGCAGTACACGCACTGCTCTGACCTCACCGGAGTGTTCAAGCGAGTCAGCTCCTCCTGCACCTAGGAATGAAGGGGGGTGTTACGATATGATGCTTTATGAGAAGGCATTTCTGTATGCTGCAGGAGCCGACTCTACCGAGTACGAAGTCGAGGAGTTAGAAGAGTCGAAGCGACGCAGCAACCGTCTGACCAAGATCGATGCAGGCAGAAACATCTGAAGTGAAAAGAGCGGGAACAGGTTCAAAACGGGTTCCTGCGCCGCACGGTTTGAATTTGCTGTAATAATGGAATGTACCCCTTAGAGTACATGGCTAGTCTATGTCTTTTCGTATTCCCCTGTATTCTTATATAAACTCGATGTATGCATGCTTTTATCAACTCAGTCATTTACATTCACTTTGACCTGCGATTCAAACTTCCGCTGCAATACTACTCTGCGATCAATCCTGAGCGATCCTTCGCCAAGTCCCACTTGGGATTGTAACATCTTGATATGAGGATCTCTTGATACGAGGATAGGAATACGCTCTAAGGAGCACCTCACTACAACCTATCACAAATATCAACATTTGGCACATCTCCACATGCGAATGAATTGTCACTTCGACTCAAATTCACTTCACACCACGCTCTGTTACACCTTTGTGGGTAGTGCATTGGTCGTACCCTCCCGGTGATCACTACGCGAATAGTCCACAACCAGCCCCCCTAAGAAGCCAACATGCATGGTGGTCGTTTTTTTGTATATATACTATGTGTTTTGCCTGCTTATTGTTTCCCATTTTTTTTCCCTGTGTTAGTGGGGCTGATTATTTCGCTTAAAACCCGCAGCCTGAATTACAAAAAAAGTTGGGAGGTGTTAACACCTTCCCTCCCGAACCAGGGTGGTTACCAGTTGTTCACCTGCAAAACGTGATGAAGTTGCAGGCAGCTCAGGGAGGTCTCTTGGTTCCTGCGCAACCACTCTGGCCGAGGTGTGCACACCAAACTCGAAATATGTAATTCAGGTCGACAGAAACTGCCTAGTCTGATCAGCTAGAGCCGCAGCCATAGCTTAGAACAGCTAGGCTCCAGCCCCATTCCAGCCCCAGGTCTCTTATTTCCGCCTTACTCTTTAGGACTATTACTCCATTCCGTAAATGCCAGGGATAAACTTTTCGCTATTCTAGGGCACGTTTTTACTCGATCGACATAGCTAGCCGTGCCCATGGATGCACATAGGCTCGTCGCTCTGGTTGCACCTCACCATCGCCCACCGCATCGATGTCGCCCCTGTTCATAGCCGCAGCGTCCTCTCTGTCCGCGTTTCAAAGATTTTATTCTATTACTTCGTCCCATTCGCTTCTTCTCCCCGATCCCCTTCCGTCCCACACACGCACTCCCCTCCATCGCTCACGCATCCTCGCTCCAACGAGCACGCTCCCTCCCCTCCCGTCTCCTTTGCGCAATCCCCATTGTCGCGCACGCTCGCTTCCCAGGGTTGCGGATTACAAATTCCTTCCGTCGCCCACGCGCACTCCGTGCCCGCCGCGCGCACTCCCTTCCGCCGCCCCCGCCCAAGACCTTCCCGTCGCCCACGCTCACTCGCTTCCCATCGCCTTCGCGCAATCGTTCCGTCGCCCACTCTCACTCACTTCCGTCGCCTGCGCTCACTCCCGTCGCCCGCGCTCACTCCCTTCCCGTCGCCCACGCTCACACCCTTCCCATCGCCTTCGCGCAATCCTTCGGTCGCACACGCTCACCCCCGCTCGTCGCACACGGCCAATTCCCTTCGTCCCACGCTCACTCCTCCCCGTCGCGCACGCTCTCTCCCCATCCGTCGCCCACGCTCACTGCCCGTACGTCGCACGCTCTCACTCCCTTTTGTCGCCCACGTTCACCCCCCTCCCGTCGCCTTCGCTCACTCTCTCCCGTCCCCTTTCTCCCTTCTCATCTCCACCCTTTCTCCCTTCTCATCTCCACCCTTTCTCCCTTCTCATCTCCACCCTTTCTCCCTTCTCATCTCCACCCTTTCTCCCTTCTCATCTCCACCCTTTCTCCCTTCAGGCTGGAGTTAGAGTCAGCGCATGCAGCGTACGACAGGGCAACGGTTTATTTCCAGGTGCAGAGCCATCCCTCACCTCCGCATCCCTCACCTCCCCATCCCTCACATCCCCATCCCTCACATCCCCATCCCTCACATCCCCATGCCGCATCTCCCCGTCCCTCACCTCCCCATGCCTCTCCTCCCCATCCCTCACCTCCCCATCCTTGCTGCTGTTGCTGTAAATGATGCGGAAACCCGCCCTGTGTGCCCCTCCCCGCGTCACCATCCCCGCCTCTCCCCCGTCAACCCCATCCCATCCCCTGCCCTCAGGGATGGGGTGGACGCGAGGTGGAGGAGTGGGGGCGAGTCGTCGTGCTGAGTCGGGGGCGCCGCGACACCGTGGGAGGCACCATTTCTGCCCCACCCCTTTCCGCCCCAACCCCTTTCCGCCCCACCCCTTTCCGCCCCACCCCATTCCGCCCCACCCCATTCCGCCCCACCCCATTCCGCCCCACCCCATTCCGCCCCAACCCAGTCTGCCCCACCCCATCTCCTCCCCACCCCTTTCCGCCTCACTCCATTCCGTCTCAACAAGATCCCCCTGTTTCCCTTCCCGATCGCCCTCTCCCTTATTTCCCTCTATAGCCTCGATCCTATTTTCCCCCAGCCCCCTCTCCCCTGTTTACCCCCTTCCCGCCCCTTCACCATCTTCTGCAGGGACAAACGGAAGCGGGTGCTACAGCTGCTGCTGTGCTCGTGCTACAGGTGACCCACAACACAACATGCTCTGCTGTGCGGTTGTGAGCTCTGTTCTGCTCTGCAGTGCTGTGCAGTGTGGTGCTCTGCTCTGCTGTGCACAGCTACGCGAGATGCGGTGCTCTGCGCTGCTCTGGGGCTCTGCGGTGCTGTGCTGTGCTCTGCTTGACGCACACCCATCCTCTCCTCTCCCCATCCTCTCCTCTCCCCATCCTCTCCTCTCCCCATCCTCTCCTCTCCCCATCCTCTCCTCTCCCCATCCTCTCCTCTCCCCATCCTCTCCTCACCCCATCGTCTCCTCTCCCCATCCTCTCCTCTCCCATCCTCTCCTCTCCCCATCCTCTCCTCTCCCCATCCTCTCCTCTCCCCATCCTCTCCTCTCCTCATCCTCTCCTCTCCCCATCCTCTCCTCTCCCCATCCTATCCTCTTCCATCCTCTCCTCTCCCCATCCTCTCCTCTCCCATCCTCTCCTCTCCCATCCTCTCCTCTCCCCATCCTCTCCTCTCCCATCCCAGGCGAGCATGACAGACGCCCAGACGACCTGCATGGACGTGCTGCCTTCGCTTGCTCCTGTTTTCAGCATGTCAAAGGCCCAGACGAGCCACATTGCAAAAGGGACAGGAAGATGGAAACACACAAGACTATAGCAATGGTTCGTGCTTGGTCTTTTATACTGATAATGCAAGCTTATGTCATGTGTATTACATCTCAAAGTAAATATATGTGGGTCTAAACGTTTACATGTTGTCGCCTGATTTGTATGCCGGTCTACGGTGAAACGGGTTACAAAGAAAACTAACAGAGGCTACCATAACAGCAGCATGAACAGCGACTTGAGTACAGTTTCAACATGGTGTAAGATGCCATTGGATGTCACAATGAGGACACACAGCAGCCTCAACTGAAATCAAATCGTACTGGGTTGCTCCATGCTGCAATGCATAGCTCGTGAAGAGAGGGAAGGTGGGAAGGACTGGAGAGGGAAATTAGAAACAGGGAAGGGAGGGAATGCAGGTGAGTCACAGGGTCGTGAAACCACTCCAGCTCTTCGAGTTACATGCTTGTTGAAGACAATAACAGGGTTGAAAAAGGACAAGAGAGGGGGGGAAGGGATGAGAGAGGGGAGGACGGGATGAGAGAGAGGAGGAAGGGATGAGAGAGGGGAGGAAGGGACGAGAGAGGGGAGGAAGGGATGAGAGAGGGGAGGAAGGGATGAGAGAGGGGAGGAAGGGATGAGAGAGGGGAGGAAGGGATGAGAGAGGGGAGGAAGGGATGAGAGAGGGGAGGAAGGGATGAGAGAGGGGAGGAAGGGATGAGAGAGGGGAGGAAGGGATGAGAGAGGGGAGGAAGGGATGAGAGAGGGGAAGAAGGGATGAGAGAGGGGAGGAAGGGACGAGAGAGGGGAGGAAGGGATGAGAGAGGGGAGGAAGGGATGAGAGAGGGGAGGAGGGATGAGAGAGGGGAGGAAGGGATGAGAGAGGGGAGGAAGGGATGAGAGAGGGGAGGAAGGGATGAGAGAGGGGAGGAAGGGATGAGAGAGGGGAGGAAGGGATGAGAGAGGGGAGGAAGGGATGAGAGAGGGGAGGAAGGGATGAGAGAGGGGAGGAAGGGATGAGAGAGGGGAGGAAGGGATGAGAGAAGGGAGGAAGGGATGAGGGATGGGAGGAAGGGATGAGAGAGGGGAGGAAGGGATGAGAGAGGGTAGGAAGGGATGAGAGAGGGTAGGAAGGGATGAGAGAGGGGAGGAAGGGATGAGAGAAGAGAAGGGGGTAAGAAGAGAGAGGAACAGTGAGAAGAGGATAGGCGGGAAGGATGCTGGCCTAGACAGCGTGGAAGGCAAGAAGGGGGTGGACAGGGGAACCAGGGGGCGGGAACAGGGGAACCAGGGGGGGAAAACAGGGGAACCAGGGAAAACGAACAGGGGAACCAGGGGGGGGAAACAGGGGAACCAGGGGGGTGACGGAGGACATTCAGGGGAAACTGAGCTCAATCGGGGGGGGTGGGGGAAGAAACTGAGTGCAATCCGGGGGGGAAACTGAGCGCAATCAGGGGGGGAAACTGAGCGCAATCAGGGTGGGAATCCGAGCGCTCAGGGGGGGAAACTGAGCGCATTCCGGGGGGGAAACTAAGCGCATTCCGGGGGGGAAACTGAGCGCATTCCGGGGGGAAAACTGAGCGCATTCCGGGGGGGAAACTGAGCGCATTCCGGGGGGGAAACTGAGCACATTCCGGGGGGGAAACTGAGCGCATTCCGGGGGGGGGAACTGAGCGCATTCCGGGGGGGGAACTGAGCGCATTCCGGGGGGAAACTGAGCGCATTCCGGGGGGGAAACTGAGCGCATTCCGGGGGGGAAACTGAGCGCATTCCGTCGGCGAAACTGAGCGCATTCCGGGGGGGAAACTGAGCGCATTCCGGGGGGGAAACTGAGCGCATTCCGGGGGGGGAAACTGAGCGCATTCCGTCCAGGAAACTGAGCGCATTCCGTCCGGGAAACTGAGCGCATTCCGGGGGGGAAACTGAGCGCATTCCGGGGGGGAAACTGAGCGCATTCCGGGGGGGAAACTGAGCGCATTCCGGGGGGGAAACCGAGCGCATTCCGGGGGGGAAACTGAGCGCATTCCGGGGGGGAAACTGAGCGCATTCCGGGGGGGGAACTGAGCGCATTCCGGGGGGGAAACTGAGCACATTCCGGGGGGGAAACTGAGCTCGACATGAATTAGAATGCAAGTTGCGACGTGGGCGGATTGGGAGATGATGCGACTGAAAACGGAGAATGAGAAGGGGGAAAGTGGCCTCCGCAAAAAGGAAGCAGCAGCGATTGAAGGGACAATAGGTGTTCGAATGGGAAGAGGAGAGAAGGCGGCGGGGTGGAAAACCAGGGCGTCGGCGCGAGAGAGGGGAGTAGGCATGGGCGGCGGGAATGAGAACGACATCGACGCAGCGACAGGTGGGAGAGGAGAGGTCGATGGGGCGAGCGATGGGGAGGGGAAGCGAGGGCGACGGGCGGGGGAAAGCGAGGTCGACGGGCGGAGGAAGAGGGGGCGACGGGCGGCGGGGCGGCGAGGGCGACGGGCGAGGCGAGGGCGGTAGGCGGATAAAGCAAGGGCGACGATCGAGGGTCGCGAGGTCGGCAAAGTGCTAATTTCTCATCTCCTCGTGCCCATTTTTTCCGTGCTTGACACTCGCATCTTGCGCCTGCGTTTCCCTTCGATTGCATATACGCGCTGCACCTACTAATTCAGGTTGTCTGAAATGTGCTCACTAAAAAACCCTAGTGGTGTGCGATCATCAGAATCTAAAAGTGAGTGAATGAGTTGTTAGCTGTGCTGTCGCACATTTTCTCACTCTACTCCAGCACTCGTGTTGTCGCATTTTGTTTTCGCTAGCTCGCTACTTTCGCGATTCTTACAAACCTCACTCAACCCAAACCGAACCCAACCCGAACCTAGCGTTGACTCAGATTTGTAATTCAGGCTTCGGGTTTTAATGTTAAACGATACGTGCTCGTAGGCCCCTTGTCTCCCATTTACGTTTCACGTTGCGTTTCCATGAACATCCATGGCGAAAATTATGCGGGAGCCAGTTCCAACCAATCAGAGAAGATTCTGGTCATCCGATCTGACATGAGAAACTTGTGCAACTGCCATCTCAGTTACGGGAAATTCACTTCGACTACAGTACTTCCATTCAATCATATGGAAGTGGGGATGTCGATCTGTGACAGTGGCGAGGTTGGGCCGTGTTCCTGCCCTGCCCACCAAGCCGATCTGTGACAGTAGCGAGGTTGTGCCCTGCAGTTGTTGTTCCTGCCCACCAAGCCTTTCACGGCCAGCCTAGTCGAGGGGGCTCGTAAATTGGGGGGTGGTCTGATGGTGAAGCCGGAGATATTGGGATTTGTTACTCTCGATCCCTATCGTATTGTTGACAGTAGACTCGAATATTCTAGGAAAAGTATATCCCAGCTCCATAGTTTCAAAAATGTCTCAAATTTAGTCGTAAGTTCACTCAAAAAGTACAACTTTCTAGAAGTTTGCTCACGCGAGGCCCAGATTATGTTCAAAACCGGTCCTGCGGGACAAAATTTTCGACACGTGTCCTATTTCGTATTAGCAATTTCTGACGGGGGCAAAAAACATAAAACCCCTAGGGGACCAGGACACACGTTCGGGAGGGACCAACCCTAAACACGAGGACCCGCTTGGTGTTTAGGGTTGATCCCTCCCGCAAATGTGCCCTAGTTCCCGAGGGGTTTTATTATTTTTTGCCCCGTCGAAACATTTTCCAAGCGAGATTAGACACGTGTCGAAAAATTCGCCCCGCAGGACCAGTTTTGAACATACTTTGGGCCTCGCGTGAGCAAAATTCTAGAAAGTGGTACTTTTTGACTAAGCCTGGGGCTAATTTTGAGAGAAATCTGAAAGTATGGACATGGAATATAATTTCCCAAGGAAAAATAGATTGGTTGTATTCACCAACCACCTGTTCAGGGGCGTGTGCAGCTGTCGGCATCAAAGTATGTTTCAGGGGTGCCCTCACTCGAAGTCTTGTTTCAGGCGACCCACGAGAGTTCACCACCAATCACCAACCATCTTGCGGCTCTTTCTGCGGGTTTAGTCATTGAGCTCGCGAAACCCCGAGATGTCAGTCAGTGGTGCATTGACTCTTGACCCAGTTCTGTGCAATCCATCACCGTTTCACAAATTGGTGATGGTGAAACTGACACCCCCTGTGGGTGCTTGTTGGCCTGGCTGGTCCTTCCCTTCCCCGTTCTCCGCGTACAGTATCTCCATTTGCTCTGCACTTCAGCATTCATGGCAGCTTCGCTTCCAGTCTCGCTTTCGCCTACACCTCCATCTCCAGCTCTGCTGCTCTTCCTAGAACAACCCCGTCAACCTGTGCAGTTCCGAGCGTCGGGTGAACGGGAATGGGTGTGCTAGATTGGACCCTAAACCAGAATTTAGGAAACACGCGTCCGCAAAACCATTAGGCCTTGTCGCTCTGATATTTTCCCAGCTGGTTAACATATCTGACGTCAGCTGACTAACTTATTCCAAGCTAGCGAGTCACCGCCGGAAGTTCCTGGTTGGCTGGAAATTGGCCTCGGGAGCAGGATGGCGGACACTCGTTTGCAGACTCTGTTGAGCACTTTGTGCGACAAAGGCGGGTGGACGTACGCCGTCTTTTGGCGCGCTCCCGAACTGCACTGCACGTCACAAGTGTAATGCCCCATCTCTTTAGTGTGTGTCCCTCCTTCGCCGACGCTGCTCCTCACAGGCGTTCCGGTCCTGGCAAGATAGCTTTTTTACCACTTGCTTCGACATACGTTGTAGAAAGTAGTTCATTCGTCGCTCAGTCTTCTTCTCTCAGTGTCGTTCTGATGTAAGGGTTTCGCTGAATCTGTGAGACTCTCTGTCGCGGTAGCCAGGTCTCAGTCACCGACGGCAGCTGACGCGGGAACATTGCTTTCCAACGGATCCGTGCTTAGCAAAAAGGGGTTCTTAGACAGTGCCATAGTTAGGGTTTTCGATATCGAGCCGCGGTCCCCTTCCGAGGCGTTCTCACACCTGGCACTTTAGAAAATAATGGAGATATCTAGCTATAGTTGGTTGACTCGTGGTAATGCTCAGCGTTAACTTGTGAGACAGGCTTCTCTCTAGGGATGCTCCCGAATTCTGTCAACTCCATTGCAGATTCTTAACGACATAAGCGTACCGCTGGCCCTGGAGATAGTTTTCTTGCTATATTCCCTCTCTTTCGCGTCCGCCGTCTTTTGCTATAATGACAAAGGTCGACCTGAGTGGATGGATTTGAGTGACCCGACATTAGCTTCCTTCTCGCCATGGCGGCTTTCCGCTACTCGTTAGTTACTTTCAGAACCGCTCCTGCGCGAGTTCACGAACGTGCTCGTTCCACGAAATCTCCGCGAATCGGCTTTCTCCCCTATTTCCGTGCAAAAGCCATCGCCATCTAATGTTTTTCGTGCGATCATCCCCTTTCCGCCTCCATTCCCCATCATCGTCAATGCATATTCCTTGTCCTAGTTCAATTGTCCCCTTGCAATCTTCACTTTTCCTCCTTCCCCCACTCCCCCCTCCTCCTGCCCTCCTCTCCCCCCTTTCCCCATCTCCCCCTTCCCCCCATTCTGGTCTCCCCCACGCAGAGCGGCGCTGACGTGGAGGCGGCTGTTCGTGTGTGCATTCAGTTGCCTCCCACTACCGTCATCACGACTCCCCCCTATTCCTCCTCCCCTCTCCCCTCTCCCCCTTCTCCGCTCTCTTCTCCCCCTTCCCCCCTCTCCCCTCCCCACTCCCCCTTCCCCCCCCCACTCCCCCGTCGCCTCTCCCCTTTCCCACTCCCCCCTCCCCCCCTCATGCAGAGCTGCACTAGCGTGGGAGGGCGGCTACTTTCTGCTCACGAACGTGTTCGACCAGAAGCAGACGAGCGGCGCGTCGTTGACGGAGGCTGACGTGGCTCGCATGCTGGCGCTGCAGGAGGAATTCACCGCCATGCGCTCTCACCGCTACCCCTGCCACACCGGGTGAGTGAAAGAGGAAGCACCGCTATCCGTGCCATAGCGGGTGAGGGAGGGAGGGAGGGAGGGAGGGAGGGAGGGAGGGAGGGAGGGAGGGAGCACTGCTACCCATGTCCACTCCCGATGCCCTGTCCCGCTTCCCCCTCTCTGATCCCTCCCGAACACCCTTCTGCCTGCAGGCTGCTGGGCAGGGTGGCGATGACAGGGGGATACCGGCTGCTGTGTGAGCCGGTCAAGTCACGCGCCATCAGAGGCATGGGGCGCCTGCACCTGGTGAGACTGGCCGCGTGCTGTGATCGTTAGATTTTTCTGGCAAGATTTATAAGGAGTGGGCGCCTATCTCGTAAGCATGTGTTTTTAATAAACCTTCGAATATGTTAAGGTGTTATGGCTTATGCATTGCCTTTTTTTATCTCGTAACCGTAACACGCACTCAGTCCTGTGTTACCATGCTATGCTGTGCCATGCCACACCATACCATACGGTGCCACACTATGCCATACCATGCCACACCATGCCATACCTCGTCATACAATGCCATTCCACGGTGGAGCAGGATGGCAGCAAGGACGAGGAGCAGCCCGAGGAGTGGGACAGGCAGTTCGCTGCAGGGGTCAAGGTGAGGGCCATCCTCACACACCATCCTCTCCCCTCTCCGTTTCTTTTCCCTTGATTTCATCACTTGAAACTTCAATCCTCTCTTCAGATCCATCGCTGCTTCTTCCTTCCGCATCGCCTCATTCATCCTATGTATACATCGTCTCCTTGTGGAAATGCCACCGCTCATTTCCACTCCACTTCATCCCACTCCTCTCCACGCCACCCCACTCCACTCCACTCCACTCCTCTCCACGCCATGCAGGTCATAGCGTTGATAGGGGTGCCACAGGGCGTGCTTCAGATAGCCGCCTGCACGCCGGTATGTCTCCAGTGCCCCACTGTGCGGTATCTTGCCAATCATACGCCTCCCATTCAGTCACGTCCCCACATCACACTCCTCCCCTCTGGTTTCGTTCCTGGTTCATTCTCATTCACCTCCCTCATTCCCTCCCCCATCCCCTCCCCCACTCTCTCCCCCAATCTTACCCCCACTCCCTCCCCCAATCTTACCCCCACTCCCTCCCCCAATCTTACCCCTTTCCCCTTGGCACTTCATTTTTCGTGCTGCAGATCAAGCCCACCAATGAGATGATTGCAAAGCTCCGAACCAAATTTGATGAGTTTCGGAAGCCCCCCCGAGTCACTCCCTTGTTAAACCTGCAAGCTGCCCTTCCAAACCAATCCATCCATCCAAACCAATCCATTCTTCCAAACCAATCCACACTTCCCCCAAATACCACCTCTGCTAACCTCGGCTGCCCAACTGCTCCCGGCCAATCACAGCCGAGCGCAGCCAAGTCGGCAAACATTTCACCAGAAGACCTTATACTTTTGAAAAAGCTCTTGGGCAGCTCTGGAGAAAATCTTACAGCTGCCCAGGCGTCTCAGCTCCTGGCCCAGCTTGCGCTGCTATCTGGAAAAACACCTGACGCACAGGAAACCCTAAGAGGGGGGCAAGACGGGATGAGAGTAGAGAGGCGAGAGTGTATACCTGGCTTGCAGCCCTCGCATCAACAGCAACAGCTCCTTCTGCAGCAGCAGCAGCAGAAGCAGAAGCAGGAGCAGGAGCAGCAGCAGCTGCTGCAGCAGCAGCAACAGCAGTGGCAGCAACAGCAGAAGCAGCAGCGCCTTCAGCAGCTGCAGCAGCACTTTCAGCATCAGGGACGGACGGCGAAGTGGGGCGAGGGGCGTAGGCAGGATGCCGCCAGTGGTTCTGCTGCTGCTCCCGCTGCTGTTACAAATGGGCCGGAGCAGGGAAGGCCAAGGGAGGGCGGAACTGGGGCAGGCTTAGCAGGGGGAGGCGGATTCGGTTCCTTGGCAGGTGCTTTGCAGAGGGAGAATTGGGAAGCGGGGAACGGGATAGGGACCAGTGGGCCAAATGGGCCAAATGGGTCAAGTGGGCCAAGTGAGGCGGGGCTAGGGTTTGCAGGTAAGGCCATGGGGGAGAGAGGGAAGGATGTGTGCGGTGGTGGTGGTGATGACGAGGCTGCTGAGGAGGGCACAGGGGAGTGGCGGCCGGGGGAGAATGTGGGGGATAGTAATGATGGAGGGGGGTGTGTGTGGGGTATGGAGGGAGGGAGGGGGGCGTGTGAGGGAGGGGCAGGGCAGGACGTGTATGAGTTGTCGTCGGGGCCAGGAGGGACGGATATGTCGGTGTGTGGAGGGGAAGGTGACGCCGGGGAAGGAGGTGCTGCCAGTGGTGACACTGGTGGTGGTGGTTCTACCAACGGTGGTGCTATTGGTTATGGTTCTGGAGGGGCAGATGGGGCAGCGCCAGGAGCAGATGCAGGAGCAGGTGCACCAAGAGGGGCAGCAAGAGGGACAGCAAGAGGGACAGCAGCGGCGCCAACACGTGTACTGACAGGGCTTGTAGCAGGGGCACTAGCTGGGGCACCTGCAGTTTCACCTGAAATGAGTCCCAAGCCTTGCTCCCCTGTCACTCTTCCCCCCCTTGCTCCCACCCGCCCTCGCATGTCCCCACCTGACGTGCCTTCTGCTCAGCATCTCAATGACTCTGCTCTCACTGCTACTGCTGCTGGTGATGCCGCTGCTGCCAGTGCTGCCAATGCTGTTGCTACTGCTAATGGCGCTGCAGCAGCCGCAACCCCTCCTCTCCACCCCACAGCCTCACCTGCAGACCTGGCTGAATTCGACGCTCTCTGTGTCACCCTAGACCACTCCCGCACCTTTCCCACAACAGGACAACTGCTGCCGCCTGGACTCACCCTCATCGCCACGTCCCCACCTCATGCCGCTTCCCCAGGCTCCCCGTCCGTGGCAGCACCCAACGCACACACCCCTCCATTCAGTGCCAGTAACCACATCAGTAACACCAACCACTTAAGCAACGGTCAGCAGCAGCATCAGCACCAGCAGCACACGGGCGTGCACGCGACGGTGTCAGCAGACAAGCCCCCCTCCCACCGCCGGTCAAGGTCGCTCGCCCAGCAGCGCCGCCACACCTTCTCCAGCGCCGACCGCGCCGCCCTCGCCCGCCAGCTCTCCCCCTCCCGCGCCCTTCTAGGGGGCGGATTCCGCCTGGGGGGGGCGCTGGGAGGAGGCGGAGTAGGGGATGGGGGAGTGGGCGGGGGAGGCGGGGTAGGAGTGGGAGGCGGAACGGGGGCAGGAGGTGGAGTGGGAGGGGGTATGGGTGCATCTGGTCACAGCCATCCGTCTGCTGCTCTGAGCAGAATGGTATCAAGTCCTCTATTCAAACGGAGCCTCAGTTGCACGAGTCCCATCCAGGGCATGACCCGAGCAGCAGCCGCCCATGCTGCTGCCCACATGCGCCGCCACTCCTTCTCCACCTCGCCCTCCTCCTCCCCCTCCTCTTCCGCCAACACCACCTCTGCTGCCAGGGCGCTGCATAGAGTGGCGTCTCCCACTACTAGCTCTGGCGGGGGGGCCATGGGGGGAAACATGGGGGGAGGGAGGCATGGGGGTTTCTCAAGCCGGCATGTGTCGAGTCTCTCGAATCCAGAGTTTCTGTCTGAGTTTCTGAATTTGTGCCCGTTTGGTGGGTCGCCGAGGGGGGTGGGCGCGGGGCGAGGGAGGGAGATGGCAGGAGGGGGAATAGGAGGGGGTATGGGAGGGGGAATGGGAGGGGGTATGGGAGGGGGGATAGGGGGGACAAGGTTGGGAGCAGGGATGGAAGGAGGGGGGGCATCTGCAGGGGCAGGGGGGACGCTAACAGGCGATGCAGCAATGCAAGCGAACCAGGGAGGGGTTGAAGGAGAGAGGGGAGGAGAGGGACGAGGAGATGGGTGGGGAGATGGAGGGGGCGGAGAAGGGGGTGTGGGATTGGGAGGGGAGGTGGGAGGGGTGGATGAGATGGAATGGCTACTGCAGGAGATGATAATGATGCATGGGAGTGCTAGTGGTGCTGCCGCCATCCTTGACGGCAATCCTGTCACGGATGCTGGTACCGCTGATGGCACTGGTATCGCAGCTAATGCATATGCTGCTGCTCTTGACGCGTGTGGCTTGGCTGATGGGGACGCTTGCTTGGATGTAGACATGGGGATGGGGATGAGTGAGGGCATGGAGATGGGCATGGGTATGGGAGGAAGAGGGGATGGGGAGGAGCAGGGTGGTGCATTGATGGGTGGAGAGAGGTGGGGAGGTATGGATATCATGGATGGTGCAGGTGGAATTGATGGGATTGGTGGGATGGGGGGCATGGGTGCGGCGGAAGAAATGGGTGTTGGTGCAGACGGGATGGGGGAACGAGGAAGGGGTGGTGCTGGTGCTGCTGATACTGTAGATGGTGCTGCTGGTGCTGGTGCTGGTGCCAGTGGTGGTGCTGGTGGTGCTGGTGCGGTCAGTAATGCGTTGAGGGTGGCAGAGAATGCCACTCTGCAGATGCTGCTGCACCGCTGCAACGGAGACCCTGCTGCTGCTGCACTGCTGCTCGAGAACCTGCTGCTGCAGAAACAGCAGCAGGGGCAGCAGCAGCAGCAGCAGCAGCAATCACACCAGCAAGCGCAGGGGCAGCAGCAGCAGCAGCAGCAACAGCAGAGGGGAGGCATGAGTGGCAGCTCACGGCAAGGCATAGTCAAGTCGATCTCGCACTCCCAGCCCTCCCGCACACTCCACTCCCTGCACACTTCTGCCTCCCCTCCTTCCGCGTCCCCTTCCTCTGCCTCCCCCCCACATGCAATCCCCCATACACCCCCACATGCATCCGCGCATGCCCCCCCCCTTCCCCCCACCCATGGATCCGTGCACCCCCTGCCCCCCTCGCACTCCCGCGCCCTCCCAGCAGTTCCCCTCCCCCGCCCCGCCTCCCGTTTCTTCCCCAAATCCGCCTCTCTGCCTGGAAACCTCCCCCGTCCCCCCCCACCTGCTGCTGCTGCTGGTAGCGGCGGTGGTGGTGGTGGTGGGGCTGGGGGGGAACGGATTGCTGCTAGTCCACTAGGTAGGCAACTGGTGCAGCCGGTGCTGCTGCAGCAGCAGCAACGGCAGTTATTACAGCAACAACGTCAACAGTTGCTGGATCATCAGCAGCAGCAGATGGTGCAGCAGCTGAGACAGAAACAGGCCGCACTGCAGATTCAGCAGGTGCAACAGCAGCAGATGCAACAACAGGTGCAACAGCATCAGCAACAGCAACAGCAACAGCAGCAGCAACAGCAACAGCAGCATCAAGAGCATGAACGTCTATCTATGGAAGAGCAGCAGCAGCAGGATCTTGTACTAAGTTATTTGGTATCCCGCAAGCAAACTCCCGATGCTACTGCTCAGTCCCTGGTCGCAAGCCTTTCCCCTGCAGCCCGTGCTGACCTGCTGTCCCAACTGCTGCTGGAGCAGAAAAGACCGGCAAACACGCCGTTAGGAGCACACGCACATGCACAGGCACAGGCACAGGCACAGGTGGAAACACAGGTACACGTGGCAGAAGCACGTGTGGCAGGGGCACAGGAACTTAAAGCACGGAACGGTGGGAGTATGGATCGTGGGACCTTCCACCAACCATGTGAGGAAGCTTCCTTATCTGAGCGACTGGATTGTGAAGGTCAAAGTTCCGCTGAAACACTGGGCGTCGGGTTTGGCTATCCCGATCCTAAGGGGTGCAGTGCTTCCGAACCTGGATCTGCAGGTTGGGACAAGAGAGGGGGAGTCGGTGCCGAGCTCGACGGTGCGGGTTGGAGAATTGGAGAGGGCTTGATGCAGCATCAGAATATTTATGAAGCAGGAGGAGGTGTTGCAGCAGCAGCAGCAGCAGCAGCAGCAGCAGCAGCAGCAGCAGCAGCAGGAGGAGGAGCAGGAGGAAGAGGAGGAGGAGGAGCGGCAGCAGCAGCAGCAACAGCAGAAGCAGAAGCAGCAGCAGGTGCCGGAATGGCAACAGCAGCAGCAATAGGAGAACTAGAAGCGGAACTAGCAGCAACAGCAGTAGCAGGAGCAGTAGGAACAGAAGCAGGGCCTGTGTTTTCTCCTGAACCAATAATCGCAGGAGACTTTTCAGGTGTACAGGGCGGACTAGACGTGCTTATAGAGGGCGGTGCAGCCAGCGATTTTCAAATGACTGCTCCTGACGGCGTGGGAGGGTTGATGGGGACAGGGATTGGGATGGGAGGAGAGGAGGAGTTGGGAGAGGAGTGGGCCATGTTCCTAGATGGGATGGATGCACCACCAATACTGGATGATTTGGATGAGGTGAGTCGGAGGGGTGGGGAGGGCGTGTGAGAAGGAGCTCGGAGATGAACCATGTTCTTATATATGATGGATGCACTGCCGATACTGGGTGATCTGATGAGGTGAGAACTTTTGAAGCATGCATGACCTTCTGAAAGGTGGTTCTTGGATTTCATGTGTGCACTGTCAGTGTTTTAATTATGTGGATGAGATGAGGTGAGTGAGCGGGGTCAGGAGGGGTGCGGAGGAGTTAGGCGAGGAGTGGGCAATGTTAATAGATGTGATGGATGCACCACCAATACTGGATGATTTGGATGAGGTGAATAGGAGGGGTGGGGAGAGGGGTGAGGAGGAGTGAAGAGGAGTGAGGACGAGGGGTGAGGACGGGTGGGAGAAGTGAGAGGTAGGGGTGAGGTAGAAAAGGGGTAATCGGAGGGAGAGGCTGTCAGGGATGAGAAGGTGCTTGGTAGCCTGGTGCCATTTGGGTGCTTGCTTTCATGGGTGCTTGCTTTCATGGGTGCTTGCTTTCATGGGTGCTTGCTTTCATGGGTGCTTGCTTTCATGGGTGCTTGCTTTCATGGGTGCTTGCTTTCATGGGTGCTTGCTTTCATGGGTGCTTGCTTTCATGGGTGCTTGCTTTCATGGGTGCTTGCTTTCATTGGTGCTTGCTTTCATGGGTGCTTGCTTTCATGGGTGCTTGCTTTCATGGGTGCTTGCTTTCATGGGTGCTTGCTTTCATTGGTGCTTGCTTTCATGGGTGCTTGCTTTCGTTGGTGCTTGGCGTGTGAGTGGCCTGCTGAGCGGGTCAGCCATCAACCATCCCTGTCTCTCTACCGGTCATTTCATCAACTCATCAACCCAGCTTCTTGTTCCGGGGGTGTGTCTCTTGCTGATCTGTTGATTGCCGTGCCACTCTCCATGTTCGCTGTCCCATGTGTTCAAAGGCGATTTGTTTCCTAAAGATAACAGTAAGAGGTTCGACTTACTGCACTGCACCTGCACTCGTTCCTTCCAGGTGATGGGCTCCACTATTGCATGACTCGCTACACTTTCGCTGCATATTTGAAGCTGGTACAGGGACATGGTCTTCGCAGGTTACGCCATAGGTTGAGAGAAAAAACATGGTAAAACATCGCAAGGGTATCGCGTTGCATGGCCTCTCGTGTCACACATGTAGCCACCTTCCCCTAAAAAGTGCTAAGCGTGTACATTGGGGAGGAGTAGGCATACCGTATGTTTGTCATTATATTGAATGGATCTTTTTAGTCCTCGACTTACCAGTATCTATTAGTGATTGGCTTTAGACTCGAAAAAGGTGTTGCACAAAAAGTAAGCAAGTGTGATGGATGTGCTGATGTTGGAAAACAGATATGTTCATTTGCTCACCCAGCCAGGTTCCGCGTATGCTTCCACGTATGTTTTTCTAGTTTTCTGGTGTCTGGGAGGGCCCGTCGTGTGCGGGCCCTCCCAGCCGTGCTAGTGGTTGTTTTTTTTTTTGGGTTGCGAAGCAACCTATTACAATCGTTATGTACAATTTTTTTTTCATCCTCTACTCGCAAAAAAATAAGAAAATAAAGAAAATCTAGTGAACGATAGCTACCGGTAAGTGACTGACTGCTACTGGTATGTATTTGCCACGGCAATTTAGCACTTCGCTCTCATTTCCTAGTTTGGATAAACTATACTGTATGATGAAACATGAATATGGGTTACTAAAATGATGTTACTGTGAACGCGTAGTTGTTTATTCCCTAATGCATAGTCGTAGTATAATGATAGACATGGTGAACCAAACATTAAATGCAAAATGCATAAATATAATGCATGTGCTACTGTGGTGAATATAATATATATTTCGGTATATATCCAACGAAGTGAAATGAATGCATAGCATGATGGAAATGCGTAACAGTTACCGTAATTGACCCAGACCCTATGCTACCGCATCCCCTGCCTAGCATGGGGGGGAGCTCAATAGCATAGGTCCTGAATCATCCAACTATTACATGAAACAACACAATTTGTGTAAACTAAAAAAATGATCAAGTTCCATCAAATCCAGTTCAAGTGAACACACTCACCGAGTGAGCAAAGAACCTTCTCGGAAATCATCTGACTAAACACACACACAAGTATGCATTGTTAATGCAATGATAGATGCATATGGATGAATGTACACACATATATACACACATATATACACACATACAGAGATATATATTGGCGCAAAAACAAAGACAAGTCAGTAAAGAAGGCAAAATAAATCTACCAAAATAACACAGTACAATCAATTATGTCAGAACATTATAGCTTACTTGTTTGTGTAGGCTATAGTGGGGTATCCCATAGGGGGTACAACCCAATTAGGGTTTCCTATTTGTACTCACCTCGTTCGTAGTCAATTCATTCACGTTTCTATTTTCACATGGAATCAGAGCAGGTCCTATCCTAGGGACTGTTCTCTAGGGCCCACCGAAGCGCGCCCCGAGGCGCGCGGTTTTTTTTTTTTCTTCTCGCGACCCTCCGTGTCGCCCTTCCCCTCGCGGCCCCGCCGCCTCCTCGACGCGGCCCCGCCGCCTCCTCGACGCGGCCCCGCCGCCTCCTCGACGCGGCCCCGCCGCCTCCTCGACGCGGCCCCGCCGCCTCCTCGACGCGGCCCCGCCGCCTTCTCGACGCGGCCCCGCCGCCTCCTCGACGCGGCCCCGCTGCCTCCTCGACGCGGCCCCGCCGCTTCCCTACCTGCGGCCGTCCCGCCGCCCTGCCTGCGGCCGTCCGCCGCCCTGCCTGCGGCCGTCCCGCCGCCCTACCTGCGGCCCACTCGCCGCCCTACCTGCGGCCGTCCCGTCGCCCTACCTGCGACCTACCCGCCGCCCTACCTGCGGCCGTCCCGCCGCCCTACCTGCGGCCGTCCCGCCGCCCTACCTGCGGCCTACCCGCCGCCCTACCTGCGGCCGTCCGCCGCCCTACCTGCGGCCGTCCCGCCGCCCTACCTGCGGCCTACCCGCCGCCCTACCTGCGGCCGTCCCGCCGCCCTACCTGCGGCCGTCCCGCCGCCCTACCTGCGGCCTACCCGCCGCCCTACCTGCGGCCGTCCCGCCGCCCTACCTGCGGCCGTCCCGCCGCCCTACCTGCGGCCTACCCGCCGCCCTACCTGCGGCCGTCCGCCGCCCTACCTGCGGCCGTCCCGCCGCCCTACCTGCGGCTCACCCGCCGCCTTACCTGCGGCCCACCCGCCGCCCTACCTGCGGCCCACCCGCCGCCCTACCTTCGCGGCCCGGCCGCCCTACCTACGCGGCCCAGCGGCAGCCGAGCCGCCCAGCAGCAGACGAGCCGCCGAGCCGCCCAGCAGCAGCCGAGCCGCCCAGCAGAAGCCGAGCCGCCCAGCAGCAGCCGAGCCGCCCAGGAGCAGCCGAGCCGCCCAGGGCAGCCGAGCCGCCCAGCAGCAGCCGAGCCGCCCTACAGCAGCCGAGCCGCCCAGCAGCAGCCGAGCCGCCCGGGAGCCGAGCCGCCCAGCAGCCTAGCGGCCGTGTCGTCTGGCGACCTTCCTCCTGAGCCGCCCGACCTGCCCTGCCCGGTGAGCACTGCACTGCTGTCACTGCGTACCCTTCCCCTACTGCTTGCACTGCGCCACTGTTGTCGTCATGGCTACACCCACTGTCCTCACTTTTGACGCTGAGGGTCGAGCCATTGACTTTGAGGTCTGGCTCGACGACCTGCAGCTGTTTTTACAGTGCGACAGGGCCGACAGTCTGTCTCTCTTTGACCTCACCTCTGGCGCTGTCCCTGCCCCTACTGCTGATGCTGACGCCACTGTTCGCTCTCAGTGGGCCACGCGCGATGCTGCTGCACGTCTTGCTGTGCGTCGCCACCTGCCTACCGCTGAGCGAACGCACTTTAGCCAGTACAAGAGTGCTCAGACCTTGTACGACGCTGTAGTTGCACGCTACTCCTCCCCTGCCACTGCTGCACTGAGCCGCCTCATGCTCCCCTTCCTCTTCCCTGACCTTGCCGCCTTTCCCACTGTCGCTGATCTCATCACGCACCTCCGCACTAGTGACACTCGCTACCGCGCTGCACTTCCTGCTGACTTCTGCGCCAAGAACCCCCCCCCCATGTACATCACTCTCTACTTCCTAGTCACTCGCCTCCCTGACTCCCTTCGTGTAGTCCGGGACCACTTCCTTGCGGTCTGTCCCACCACCCTCACCGTCGACAGCCTCGAGAAGGCCCTTCTTGCAGCAGAGAAGAGCATAGTTGCTGTAGGAGCCTCTCGAGGTGACCCCCGCGCCCCCATCTTTGAGGGGTGTTCTCCTTCCCCTCTCCTGCCCTCTGTTGCCTCTGCCGCTGCGGCCGACCTCGTTGGTCTTGAGTCGGTCGGTGCGGCGTCTGCCCCTAGCGGGAGACGCCGCTCTGGCAAGGGCAAGGGAGGCAAGGGAGCGGATGGGGCCAGTGGGGGCGGTGGCGGTGGGGGTGGAGGCGGCGGAGGGAGTGGGGGTGGCGGTGGAGGTGGTAGTGGGGGTGGGGGTGCTAGTGGCAGCGGTGGCGGCGGGAGTGGCGGCGGCGGTGGCGGTGGTAGCGGAGGTGGCGGAGGTGGCGGCGGTGGAGGTGGGGGCGGGGGCGGTGGAGGCGGAGGCGGGGGTGGCGGAGGTGGAGGTGGTCGGAGAAGGGCTTCACAGCGGAGCGGCACTGGTGGCGGTCAGCGCCAACAGCAGCAGCAGCAGCAGCAGCAGCAGCAGCAACGTTCTCGCGACGTCCTCACCCCCCAGCAGCTCCGTGAGTGGTACACGCAGCGTCAGCGCGGTGGGGGTTTTGGTCCCTGCACCTACGTTCTCCGCACTGGCGACCGCACTGGAGAGCAGTGTGGGGGTGCCCACCCCGCTCAGCGCTGCTTTGGCCGCCTGACAGACGCTTGGCGTCAGCAGTTCCCGGAGGCCGCGGAGATCCCCCGCTGGGGAGAGCTGTCTAGGGCTGGTGTAGCTATCTTTGATCTTGATTTTGATGCTATCCTTGCTGCCATGTATGCTGTGACCACTAGTGAGGAGGGTGACTGTTACCGGTGTTTCCCGCCCGACCCGGGCATTGGTACTGCTGCTCCAGGTGCCGTTGAGGCTTCTGCTCTAGGTGCCAGTGCGTCTGTACTCTCAGGTACTCGTGAGTCTGCGCTCTCAGGTACTGCGTCGGCTTCGGCCTCCCACACCTTCACTCTTGACTCTGGAGCGTCTTGCTCTTTCTTTCGGGACCGCACCACACTTACGCCGCTTAGTCGGCCGGTTGCGGTTTCCCTGGCAGACCCCTCTGGGGGTCCTGTCCTGGCTCGCTTCTCCACGGTCCTCCCGTGTCCGGCGGCTCCCTCTGGCACCCTGTCTGGTCTCTACCTCCCCTCGTTCTCTACGAACTTGGTGAGTGGTGCTGACCTATAGGATGGGGGAGTCCACCAGTTCACCCCTGCTGGTCAGCGCGTGACGCACTGCACGGAGGCTAGCACGGGTCGTCACCTGGCTACGTTTACACGTCAGCCAGGGTCGAGCCTGTACACACTGACCACTGCTTCTCCTCCAGGTGCTGAGTCTGGTAGAGTCCCTTCGTCTGGTCAGGTGTTTGCTGCAGCGTCCAGGTCTCGTCCTGAGTCTGCCCCCTGTTCGTGTCGCCGTCTGTCTCACGAGACCCTCCTCTGGCACCACCGTCTTGGCCACCCCTCTCTGCTTCGGTTCACAGGCATGGCCTCCCGTCTTCTTGTGTCTGGTCTCCCCAGGTCTCTACCTCCCCTTCCTCAGGGCCCTGGCCCTTTCTGTGTCCCCTGTGTCGAGGGGCGCCAGCGTGCTGCCCCTCACTCCTCCCAGTTTCCTCCGACAGAGGCTCCGTTGCAGACGCTTCACATGGACGTGTGGGGCCCTGCCCGCGTCCGTGGACTCGGTCACGAGCGCTACTTCCTGCTGGTGGTTGACGACTACTCGCGTTACACCACAGTCTTCCCCTTGCGCAGCAAGGGTGATGTCAGTGAGGTGCTGATCGACTGGATCCGCGCAGCTCGTCTCCAGC